AGCTTTTTTGTAACTCCCTTGGTTTGGGATCTTCCCCTTTTGTTTCCTTTTCCATTTCATTACATTAATGAAATCTGTTTCTTTTTCAAAAAAAACATTTCAAGGAACCCCTCCAAAAGAAGGAGATTATTGTTGTTGTTGGGGTCAGTATCCATAATTAGATAGGTTATCTTACAATGGCTGTATAGTGTATTCTCAATCAGAAAATTTCTCAAATAAAGAATACGAAGAAGACTGATACTGTCAAATATGGCCCTATATTTGTCAAGGAGACCAACTCCAGTGTAACAGGTGTGCATAAGAATTAGCATCAGAAAAAATACTCAAACTAAATTCAGGATAAAAATAGCTCGCAGTTCAGAATGTGATTCCGACTCATAAGACCACATAACAACTATATAATTTGTCAAACTATAGGATAATGAAGAAAATGGAAAATTGGAAATCACCTGTTTTAGCTTTTGCTAGGGATGGCTGCACAACAACATGCATTATAATAACTCCTCCCGTGAACTCACCGAAAGGTAATTTACACTGACCAACAGTCCTATTATTTTCCAAAATTTTACCAGAACTCATCAGTTTTACTTCACTGGCTGCCTTTGGAGTGATTGTTTTGCCTAAGCCTAACAAGAAAAGAAAGTCAACCGAAAGGAAGAATAAAAGTGAAATCAATGTGGATACGGATACCAATTCATAAAGAATGTTATGGAGAAATCTAGAGGATGAAAGATCTTAAGAAACCCCAAACCAGGTGTTTAAGTAAGATCTCAACAGCTCATAATAATAACCGACATATTTCAACAATTCAACATCAGTCCTATCCTAAGCACACCAGTAAAAAGAAAGAAAGAAAGATAAAAAAGAAGGGTTACAGACTATTACAACATGCAATAGAGAACGCAAGGCCTGAAGTTCACATATGTATTTGCAGTTGAAGGATGATGAAAAGAAGGCTAAATGTCAGAAATCATGGTAATCGAGTACCTACCTACAACACAATCGAAAACAATAGGGAGATGAATGAAGAATAAGGGTGCAACCTTTGGGCAAATCGGAAACTATTATCTGCTTAAGCACGTCTACCGTGGATGCGGAGGAGTATCGAAATGTCAATCAAATCGTCCTCCAGCATCTGATATGACTATTTTCGGAAACTTCTCCGAGTGTGCGAATCGGGAGTCCACTAATCTGGTGCCCTAGAGGTGACAAGCAATTGGGATGAGAAAGAAGGAAAATCAATTAGAGGTGTGAAGACGACGAAAGATCCGGAAAGGAAATAAACTGAAAGTAATGGTAAATAGTAATAGTGGAGAAAAGAGAGTACCAGACGAGAGCTTGGGAAGCCGTAGATGTCCAAAATTTGAATTTATGGATTCGATTCGACTCGATTAAGATGAAAAAGTAGGCGAAGGCGGACCGGTTGTTTGTTTGTTGAGTTTTATGTGATTTGTTGGGTTAAAACGACGTCGCTTGGGACACCGTGTTATTTATCGTAATCTTACGATTATATTATTATTATAATATATATTATGAATGAAAGTGAAGAAGCTCTAAGAAAAGAATCAATGGGCGTGCTGCGTGCAATTGAGTAGATCAGTTTTTGTTGGAGAAGGAGAATTGAGTTTCCATTTAAAATGTAACAATATCCGTTTTTCACTATTTGCAGCCTCCGCGCAATCTATACCTATACGCCTCCCAGCTGTCGCCACGGCATGTCAAATAAAAAAACAACGTTTCCCTTTTCACAAAATAAAGGCATTCACAACATTTTCCTTTTTATTAACATGTGAAAAGTAAATTAATTTTTAATGACTTTCCAAAATTATCCTCATCACCTTGGTGCTTGGGCAATATCCCCTAAGAATGCCACTCGTAATCTATAATTTTATAATTAGCTGTAGCTCTCTTCTTCTAGCTTCTCCTGTACCTAAAAAGAAAGGCATTTGGGAAAACGAGAATAAAGCATGACCTATTTGAAAAATCATAAGAAAAAGAGAAACTTCACAATCATATATTAAATAAATATGTCCTCCACATCAATTTTCCTAAACACATCATTACCAGAAAGCATTTATACACAAGAATTGGCCGATAGCAACTGTGTTTTGAAAGATGATTTACCAAATGAATCATATCACTGGTGTTGTGTTTCAAAGTATGGAACAGGAGCAGACKATCTTCTGCTGTGAATTGTCAGTCTTTTTATCTGTATCATTAACATATCTAAGTAAGTATCTGATCTGATGCCACAGCAATCAAACGCTGGACTTCAAAAACAAATTGGATCAACGATCCCAAGTTCTCCAAGTTATGATTTGAATCTAGTTTTATAAGGATCAGTGGATCACAATCAACATTTTTGACTGCGAAACCATACAAGTCACATGACATTGAATCAAAACAAGTAACACACTCTATTTTCATTATGTCCCGTTCTTTCTTCTAGGGAGCATCCCTAAGCGTGGATATTGGCTTGGGTATGTATTCATTCGAATCAAGAAAGAAAAATCAGTAATCAAATACAAGAAACCAAATTCATAGATGAGATCCTAGACTGCTAATAGCTAATGGAAGAAAAACACTGAAGGGGTTGCCTTGGTATAAATTTTGGTTGGATATTTTCATTTATTTTCAAAATCAAAACCATGCTTGATTTTGCATGAAAACTATGCCAAGTTCCATGGAAATAAATTATGTTTATATAAACTATGTTAATAGAATCACAAGTAAGCATGGGTAATCGTCAAATATTAATTAATGAATTAATCAAAATGAATTATAAGCAATTGATGAAAACTAAAGTCGGTCAATTTACATACGGCTAATTAATACATTAACTATCTGTTGTATAATTAATCTAAAATAATTTATTTAAATTAGCAATTAATCAACACTAATTAATTAATTTCTGTATCCCCACCCCAAATGTTCTACTAAAAAAAAATAATAATAAATTAATTTCTGTAAATATGATGAAATTTTAAATAAAAAAATTTGAAAGATTTAAGATTTTCTTGGAACAGACTCCTCACAACAATCCAAGTTCTTTCTTATCTAGTTTATTTAGATTGTCGAACGATTATAAGAAGATGATAAGAAAAAATGAAATGATAAAAAGAAGGAATATAATGAAGAGAGTAGAAGCAAGAGTAAAGATGAGGGCAAAGGCTGGAGAAGAAAAAGAATGGGTAAGAGAGTATACTTGAATCTTCAGCCAGGTAAGGTTCAAGCAAGATTATCAGAGCTTTAGACTCTTAGGTCTATTTTCATATTTAGGCAGGATATCTAACAATTCCCTTTGTTCTCAAGTAGAAATTCCTCCAGCGAAGAACAGCAAGAAGATTACTGTTGACTCAGTAACTTTAAACTTCATCTGATCTAACATCTGTACTGTACCATATAGCAATTTCAATTTGCCATCAGATTTCCTAGGTGATTTGTTAAATCTGCAAGTCTTACAAGAATTACCATAATCACTGGCAGAGCAGAATAATAGACCAGCTGAGCCTCCAGAAAATACCTATCTTCATTCTTGGATTACTTTTGGCTGCATACTTTGTAAAGGAGTCAAGCCAACGAGAGGATCATATGGCTCTCTATCACGAACTTTGTATGAAATGAAATAATTTAGGTACAATCTGCTAGCAGTTTTTGTCTTAACCATTCGAAGAAGGCACTAAAAAACCATTCTCCATTTAGTAGCCACAGGCAATAGTTCAGAGAAAAAAGGGATACCATCTGGTGCAGAATAAATGAAGAAAAAAGGTTCTCTAAGAGGCTCATGATAGCTAACCCACGGGACCACTTGCAGGTCAGGGCATTCTACTTAGCATCGTTCAGAGTTATGACTCAAAAGCACAACTCAACACTCATTGAAAGCTCCAAGAATGATTTTGAAATAGTTATATCCCATCAACTCCAATAAGTATAACAATAGGGGTTGTTAAGACTTAGCATCAGAAGATTATTGACCTAAGTCCACACTAAAAGACCAACAAATTGATAACTGTATCAGTTCCAAATGCAATTCCAACTCCTAATACCACAATTATATAGTTATAGACTTCTACATCCAGAGTATTTGATAAACTATCAGACAGCAGAAAATGGGAAAAAGAAACCATATTAAAGACTAGAGTACCAGTAAATTTTAAGAAGGAACATTCCATGAACAAAAAGATTATATTTATAGCTAAAATGTGAAAGGAAATCACCTGTTTTAGCTTTTGCGATGGATGGCTGTACAACAACGTGCATTATAGTGACTCCTCCCGTGAACTCACCAAAAGGTAATTTACACTGACCAACAGTCTTGTTATTTTCCAAAATTTTACCAGAACTTATCAGTTTTACTTCACTGGCTGCCTTCGGAGTGATTGTTTTGCCTAAAAAGGAAAGAAAAAATCGTACAAAAAGGGCAAAGAAAAAATCAATATGAAAACAAATGCCGAGAAAAAAAATGGTGAGAAGAAATCCAGCGAATGTAAGACATTACTTCAGAAACCCAAAACTACGCGCATAAGTTCCTAATAGTAAACGACACATATGAAAAGAATTCAACATGCGTTCTGTGAATAAGCGCGTAAATCAAGAATAAAATATCCGCGTAGAGCCGTCTGGCAAGAATAATATATTAGTCATTAAAAGTAGCTAAATTAAGCTAGCAGACTATAGTATTAAAAAAAGAAGGATTAACAGACTATATAACATGCAACAGAAACGCCGGAAATTCACATTCGCGTTTGCAGTTAAAATACATAAAGAAACCTAAATGTCAGAAACAATTACAAATTGAGTAGCTATAACTGAAAAGCTCCAACCTTTAGGCCAATCGKACACTATTCTCTGCTTAAGCACATCTATTGTGGATGCCGAGGAGTATCGAAAGGGTCCAATATCAGAGCCATCGTAGAGCCTGAACTTAATGTCAATTAAATCGTCCTCCGGCATCTGAGTTGACTATCCGTCCAATCACCTAGGAGTGTTGGATCCCGACCTTGGATTGATCGGACACGCGCTCACCAAATTCGGTGCCCTAGAACGAATTCACAGCAATTCCAACACCAACGAAGCTGAAGCAATTACAGTGAGAATTGAATACCAAGAAAGATCCGAAAACGAGACTAATTCTTAGTAAAGCGAAAACAAAACGATAATTAGGAGATGAGAGAAGAGACCTTGTGAAGCGAAGCCGTGGATCAGAGAACAAAGCAGTTTCCTCTCAGCTGCAGGCTTTTAGAAAGAAAAATAATTATATATTTATATATTTCTTTTTCCGATTTATCAATTTATAAATACTATTTAGTTGTCGAACCGAGGAAGAAGACAAAGTAAGCGCTCGCGAAGGCAGACTGATTCGAAATCCACGCGGTCTTGACTTTATGTCACGTCAGTACTTGTGTTTAGTTCGGTTCGAAACAAATACGACGTCGCAGGGTTTAGGAACCATACGGCGTCGTTTTGGTCGTTCTCTCCGGTCAAAAGGTAAAACTCCGAGTGCGAGTGCGGGATGGGGAGCAAGAGAAAGAGGGAAGAAGAGGACATGGCAGTGGGAGAGATCGTATGGCAAACCCCTGCCAACCCCCCACAACGAAGCGATTACATACTTCTAAATGGTACAAATGAAAAGCCCTCTTTCTGGGTTTTTGTTTTCGTTTTACATTTCAGCATGTTTTAATCAGAGTTCTTTGATTAGGGAGACGGCATGTTAGACCCTACTACTTCGAGTTCATTGCTCATGTAAGTGACTTGTAGCCTCTCTTTCGTATTTTACAGTTGAACCGAAATCCAAATTGGAAGTTTATATCTGCAATTTGCAGGTTAAGAATCGATGGGCCGGAAAAACCATTGTCGACTTGTTTGCTGAAGAGTTTAAAGGCCGACCTTATGAGTACTATGTACACTTTTTCCTTTCCGTTTTGCTTGTATGATGTGATTATTTGGTTTCAGCTTTTGTTTGTTATTTTATTGTTTTGTTTGAATCAAAATATGTATTAGCCACGTGGACTGAATTATTTTCATTCCCWCGTAGATTTTGCCTTGTTTTCATTCCTTACTGGTTGGAACTCTGTTTCATAGATTGATGCTGTCAAATGTGGTCGTATACAAGTCGATGGGGAGCTGGTGCCTGTATCATATATAGTTAGATCATCTCAAAAGATAAGTCATTTCCTGCACAGGTATGTGGAGATTGCAAGTTCAATAAAGGCTTACAGTTTCACGATTGGTTTAATTTGGTTGAACTTACATTTGTTCCCAAGCGGGCTGCCCATGATTCCCTTGAATTTACATTTGTTAAGCTTTCTTTTGGTAAAAGCTGCACTATAGAGTTTATCAAAAAATTGTAATTGATTTCACAAGGGCTGTAGGCATGAACCGCCAGTGATGGCTTGTGATGTCAAAATTCTCAAAGAAGAAGCAGATGTGCTGACGGTTTGCAAGCCTGCATCTGTTCCAGTGAGTTTTATTGTAGTCTGTGCTTTATATTACATCATTAGTTATGCAAATAGTGCAATACATGTCCCGTAAACCTTTTTTTTTAGTGTATCTATTCCTCTTGTTTGCTACTGTTTGTTTTTCTTTTAAGTTGATTTTACCATCACTTTTAGTTCCATTTAACTTGCAAGCTCCAATGTAATATAGGTCCATCCATGTGGTCAATATAGGAAGAACACTGTTGTTGGTATACTTCAGGCAGAGCATGGTTTGGCACCTCTATTTCGTATCCAACTTCCATGTCCTTCTAGAAGCTATTATTCTCATGATTTAGCTCTGTTGAATTGATAATGAAACAAACTCTGTTAGCAAATTTTGTCCACTGGTTTGAAGGGCAAACCTCTTCCTTCCTTGACATAACCATGTCAGCTATACATCGACTAGACCGCCTTGTCTCAGGACTTCTCATCCTTGCTAGGAATTCTTCCAAAGCTGATCTTTTCAGACAACAGGTATTCCTCATACTTGAGAGTTTTTTACATTAGTTCTATTCTTTAGTGACAGTAAATAAAAAAAGGCATGAAATTTTTATGAGGTGTATTCTTCTGAAACATTTTAATCCAACTTGTACAATAGCTTTTCTTCAGTTGACAACTTCTAATTATTATGTAATTATATATTGTTGAGAACTGATTTACTTTACATTTACAACATTGCAGTGCTCGTAGTTGGACAATGCCTGGACTGACATTGTCAGTAAATAAAAGTTTAAATTAGAGAACCAGCAATAATTAATATTAATGGTTATATGATTTAATATAAAGATAATATGAGATAAAAAAAAGCTACTGATTGCACTTAAAGGATTATATAAATATCAAAGCCTTTACTATGAAATGGGTTGAATATGATTCTTACTTACAAAATATACAAATAATTATGGTGATAAATTGGTATGGCGATTACACAATTGGTAAGAAAAATGTAAGTTCATAAAATTTGAAAAATTTAGATGATATGTGGATTGAAATTTTTAAAAAACGTTTGAAACTGAAGAAAAGAGTATATCCTGATTAATAATTAGTCGTTTGTTAAACAGTAAAATTGTAAATAGAAATGTGAAAACCTAGGTAAATATCATAGAATACTAGATGATTTTTGAAAAAACGTTGACAAAAGATTGAACTCTAAATTACTTTTGCAGCTAAAGTGAAATTTTGTATAATTATAAAATCAACCAGAAATAAATATAAAACATATCACAGATTCACATATGGTGTAGTACCTGTAAAGATGGAAGGAAAATTATCTTTGAAGAAGACAAATGGTAGTTGTAATGATTATTTAATATGAAAATTAAATAATAAGAGAGAATTTGAAACAAAAATAATAAAAATTTCAATCTATGTAAAGATGCGATTTAAAGATTAAAAAAGTCCACTTGCATTGTTTCACTGTGTATTGTTAAATTCAATATGTGATTGATTTCACGTTCTTTTCGGCATATACACAAACTAGAAACTGAAGAAACTCATATATTAGGAATGTGTGCATATTGCAGATTGAGTCTGGGCTGGTGAAGAAACAGTACATTGCAAGGGTAGTGGGCGTATTTCCAGAGAAAGAGGTATTTCTTCTTTGGGCTAGTCAAGTCATGCATTTTCAAATTGTTCCAACTAATATGACCAGACCAGACTTAAGGGCTATACTTGGTCCTGGCTGCTCTAGGATCCTCTTTTCTGGCTTTTACCCATTGGGATGATGGGAATAAAGCCGTGGAATGTGGAACGTATTCAGACATGTACGTTGTGGGTCTGTGCTTAAAATCTTCCACAATTAGGTTGACTCTGCCTCTTAAAAGAGAGTGGTATATACTTTTTTGAATTCAAACAAGAGGGTGGGGAGTTTGAACCTCCAAGCTGTATGGAGGCCAGAGAAATTCTTGTATTATAGGCAGAGGAAAATGTTGTCAATGGAGATGTGCTCGAGTGTTTGTGGCTTGTGCTCTTTAATAGGCCATGCGGAATTCTAAAAGGAGTATGAAATAAAACACCGAGTTGCTTTTGACACGAGGGGGAAGCATGTTATCAAAATATTCTCAATCTCAAGCATGATATCCAGCCATCTTGGAGTACTGTGCGATTATGTTGTATCTTTATGTTCAGTGAAGTCACATCATAATACTGTTTATTCGATTTCTATTATGCATCTCTCTGATTATCTGCTTCATTTTCCCCTGGACTTAATTTCAGCAACTTGTTGATGTTAACATAAATTACAATGCTCGAGAAGGAAGGAGCACAGCAGAGGTGAGGCTTCATTTTTACCCTTGTTTATATGGCACTTCACTTGCTCAAGGAGTGAGAGTGAGTGATAAGGATGAGATTTACTTTGTAGCAGGATATTGTCCTGTTTTGATACAAGTAGTCTGCAAAAGCTTCTTAATTACTGAAAACTGTTGTTTTTTAATTCCATAATATTGACTTGGATAACAAGGGTGGCCAGTCACAGTCACTATTGGAATTGGAGTCATGTTGACTGGAAATTTGAGTTGCTTGCTCTTGAAACATTATTATAAAACAACTCGAAGTATATTGGGTTTAATTTAGTAGTGTTGTTTGATACCACTAGCAGATGGTTGATTCTTGCTCGGATGCTCGAACAAAGGGGAAGACCGCTCAAACGAAGTTTACCCGTATCAGTTCGGATGGAATTCATAGCATTGTTTTGTGCGAACCGATCACTGGGCGAACTCATCAAGTAAAATTCCAGTCCTGACTTATTGAAGGGGAAGGGGGTGGCATGCCCCATAATGTTATTTCATGTGTTAAAATGAGTGTGTTGTGGTAATGCAGATACGTGTGCATTTGCAGTACAGTGGGTATCCTATAGCGAATGACGCACTGTACCTCACAAAAGAAGCTTCTTGTCGTTCGGTGGAAAGAACAAATGCAGATAGAGCAGCAGCCCATTGTCCAGCACGTGATACTGAAGAAGATTGCGTTGATGGATGTAAAGAGAAGTCAGGTGAAGATTTTAGCATCGACTCCATGTGTACGAACTGTCCAAATTTGGGCCCAAAGGGGTAAGAAGAAACTTATATCCCACGCAGGTTATAGCTTGATTTTAGCATTAACCGTGGTTTGTTTGTTTGTTATGTGAAGATACGAGGGAGACGAAGAGGGTTTATGGCTGCATTGTGTTCGGTATTCTGGACCAGGATGGATCTACGAATGCCCATATCCAGAATGGGCTTCATTTTAATACACAGCCTCGCCATTCTCTGTATTTGTTATCAATGCTACAGCCCACAGTGATTTCGCTTTGGCCTGGGAAAGCCATTTTGGAAGGCTGGGTCGGGATTTCAATGTGATTCTTCCTGTCCCACATCTTAACAGTGTGTTTAGGGTGTCTTCACTTAGAATATTTGTATTAAATTTAATTTTATCATGCAAAGCATAATTTAATGTGTCACAAGTTTTCATTCTTTTCCCACAGAGGCTTTAATTTTATTGCTACTCCTATTATTAATATTTACTTAACAAAATTTTAAAATTATTATAAAAAATTTTATGAAAATAAAAACAATTAAAATTGCAAAAGAATGAAACAAGTGAAAGAAATAAATAGTATGTGTTAAGAGAGACTAGGTTAGCTAGAAAAAAATGTATATAAAAGTTGATTTGTGTGATTAGAGGCGAATTTGAGAATAATTTAATTCTTTAAGATTTATATTCATAGTCAAAATATTGGATTTGAATATCTACTCTTACGTATTATTATACCGAAAAGAAAAGAAAAATACTTTGATAGAACTAAAAAAAATGTAGAATTATGTGTTTAAAACTTAAAAGAAAGTATTATATTTTTAATTTTTTTTTTTTTGGGGGTATTGTAGATAGAGGCGGTCTAGATATACCTCATTGCTAGGAATCCATGGATGGTTGCAATGTGCATTTACTGAAGTGTTGTCCCATTGTGGCCATTTTGGAGGATAAGTGAATGAGTGTCAGAATTTTATGGGCTATCTATAGACCTTCCCAATATTTAAATGGATGATGTCACCCACCGCCCATCCCATCCCAATATTAATTATTAATTAAAATACACCAAAACCTGTACGTTTTGGGTACGACCAACTAAATATAAACTCTCTATACCAGTCTCTTCTATTTGTCACGTGAGTTTAGTTCGGTTAAGACATCTAAAGTATTCTTATAAAGTTAGAGGTTCCATCTCCCATCTCTACAATTATTGTATTAAAAAATATATATATGTGCACACTGATCTTTTTCCTTCAATTTTCACACTCATTTTTAATTCTAATACTAAAAAAACTCTAATATGTTTAATTTCAAAAGAAAAAAAAAAGAAATGCTTCCTAGAGTCAATTTTCATTTTTTCTATTTTTAAAATTAGTCTAAAATTAGTCGAATACCAACATTTTTTTAGTACAATATGTTGAGATGAGAATTCAAACTCATGATTTTTGGTTGGAGAGAGATACTTTTAAGGGATAATTGCAATAGATGGTTCAAAATGGAGGAGGAGGGTATTTACCGTCCTTTCATGAGGGGAAAAAAAAATAGTCTAGATTGATGTAAAAATGGGTGAAATTGTAGATTTATCTCTACAATATTAAAAAATATGCCAAATAATAGACCACAAGAGGACAAGGTGTCCTTGAAAGATGGCTACGGAACATGTACTTCATCAATTTAATACTAAGCAAAATAACTTGTTCATTATTAAATTATTTGAACACATTGTCTTTGATTTCTTTCTTCATAAATAAGTCCACGTATGCGAATCCTTTTATAAAAAGAAAACAATTGAAAAAATGTGCTTTTACAGTATTTTGAAAGACTTTTTAGTGCTATCCCACTTTGTGTGTTTCTCACGTACCCTTTAATGAAATGGTTGATATCTTTTTAAGGAAGAAAAAAAAAATTTAGAATCATCGAATGTGTTTGACTGGAAAGTAAAAGAATATATTTGGAGGACTTTTTTTTTTAACTCAAATTGAATTGTCATTTAAACACTTTTACTAAAATTCCTTAAGATTATAAAAATTATAGTTGTGAATGGATCTTTTCCTGCATCAAAAAGATGAAGGGTCTAACAAAAAATTATAAACTTAAAAAGAAACATGATTAAAAATTTGACGTGGAAAAGATCAAAGTAACCATCATTCCACATATATAAAGTATAAGGTAGGCAAAGAGTAATTTTAATATAAACTCTGGGAATTATCATGTTTTAGTGGATGTTATATCAATTGGATGAAAATAAATGGTGGGAAGTGATTAAGGGTGTATTTGAGAGTGATGATAAAATAAATGATTTGAAAAAAGAGAGAGATTTAAAATATAATTAACTTTTCAAAATCACCCGTTTGATACTTAAAAATCAATTTAAGCTGATTTTAGATTTTTTTAAAATCAATTTTTGTAATTTAACAAACTATAGAAAGGTGAGAGTAAGTAACCCTAAATTAGTTTGCGGGGTTAAGCTTAAGCAATTAAGCAATTAGGGTGGGGTTTGAAGAGTGATTTTTTAGAATATCCAATTGAAGCGGGCGGGCAGGGGCAGGGGCAGGCATATGATTTTCCAAATCCTAGTGTTCCGCACCGCAATCCTATACTCCATGGAGGCATGTTTGCTGCATCTTTTCAAGATTCTAATTTTTCTCATACCTTTCCGAAGCAAGCTATATGATGATATCATCCAGAGTTTAAATTTCAGTGCCAAGCTTACAGGCCTACCTAGGGTCCTTTCTTTATTCAGTTTCACGTTCACCCAACCCAACACCGATTATCAGTTTAATTAAGTCGCTTTTCTTTCTTAATTATTATGTTAAACCCGCTACAATACACAAATGGGCCGCTGGATTGATCCGTGATATATAAAGTGGAATCTAGACTTTTTGCGGACAACACACACAAATTAGATTACGCGGCTTGATTAATTAAAGAGAGAAAAAGGTAAAAATAAAGCTAGGGGAGGGGCATTTTGTAATTAGGCTTTTGGTTAGGTTGGAGGGTCAAAGATTCCGGATCCAATTAATTAGAAGTAATTAATGAGATGATGATGGTGCGGTAGATTCATAATATAATTCAGATATATGTTGAGGGTTCAGATAATTATTAATCAGATTGTAATGTGTTTTTTTGACAGTGGACGGAAAGGGCTCGGATTCCCCACTGGCACTGGCACTGGCACTGACTTAGATTCCAAACACAGTGGCCAGTGGCCAGTGGCCGGCCGTCAGCTGCCTGCTTATAATTATTAACACACTTTAATTAATTCTTGCACCTGGACCCAACAATGGTAAAATTCCTTCTTTTTAGCTTAAAGCTGCCGCCTTAATTAACCTACAAAACCTTCAACCTTTTTTGTAGCTGCCGTCAATTTGTCTACTTAGTGCCGTGCCTTTGGACCCTGGGATTTCCTTCTCACCTTCAATTATTCCTTTTCTTTTTCTTTTCTTAATTAACTTACACCCTACCATCAGTTTCGTTTCGGCTCACTGTTTTCTCAATTACCACCTTTTTATTTTATCCAACGTAGCCCTACCTAATTTCTTACTCAAATCTTCTCTATTCTTTACACATAATTTATGTATTTCAATTATACAAGATTTCAACTCACAAAAGTAGGGTTCCCTACAAAAGTAATCATTTTGATATTTTGTTCAAAAATAATTTTATAATCTTAATCTTGATCAATCATTTTAGTATCAAAATTAAATAGTTCTAAAAAAACCTGATTTCTTTTTCTTCTCTTTATTATTAGAATTGAATAACGAAATTACAAGGAAACAAATTCATCTGAGAGCGTTTGTGTAATATTGTGATTTTTTATATATAGAAAAATAAAAAAGATAAAAGAGATAATAGTTCTTCAATTCACCCAGACAACTTTATTTGTTTCGGAAAATGCGTCTAAATTAGAAGCAATTCATTGCCGAAGCTTTTTTTAGCAAACCTGATGATTTTATTGGGACAAAATAGTTTATCAATGAAGCTCGCCTATATCTATATTTGGAAAACCACAAATTACACGCATTGGGTGTATATATATAAATTTATCACCAGCGGGGTAATATTCCGAGAGCAAAAATTTTCATTTTCATCCATATTTTTATAATTAAAACCTCATCTAATATTATATCGTGACGAGGAAGTAATATTTAGATGGCCTCCTTAGATATTATAAGAATTAGCCCATTATTATAATGTGTACTATTTCTCCTTCCGATGGCACAGTGGTAATAGATTTGAGTTATTTTAATTCCAACCTTCCARGTTCAAGTCGTGCACAAATCACAATTATTGTTCTATCCAAAAAAGAGTCTCGATTATAAGTATCCATACGATTTTGATTTTATGATTAGTATCCATGATTAGYATCCAAGTTCTGATGATCTCAAATTGTTCCTCTTGCATTGAGCTACATATAAATCCAATGC